CCTAGTGAACGACACCCGTTGAAACGGGTCCTAGTTCCTGATGTAGGTATGTTACACGCGGATAAGATTCTAAGGCTAATATCTCAAAGGTTACGAAGAGTCGTATTGTGTTACAGACACTCGCATGTTTTTAGCTTTTACTATGTTAATATGTTTCCTTATACCTTTTGCAGGAAGTTCCTCATACTTGACGTCACACCTCTTTCACCCGACACCAACCTTTATAAATTTGAGATCTCCAAAGGGAAAATCAATCTGCCAATTGCATGTCATCTTCGTACCAGGTACGACTACTAGTTTTCAATCTAATCTCATAGGGACCGGACCACATAAGGCATAATAAGGATTTATTATGCCACCCTAGCGTATCAAGTCATAAATACGCTTCATTTCATAGAATTCCGTCACATTCAATACCAAACAAAACATACTATAATGGAGTAAATTAACAAGCCTACAGAGTGACCAGCGAAACAACTTCGACTCGTTACAAAATAGGGTACTTTCTTCAAAAGTTGGTTGTGGTATGGACCAGCGCGTGCACTTTGAGAGCAACGTAACCGTACAAATTGGAAACAAAAATACATGCCTAGTGGCAGTTTATCGTACTGTCCATCAAGAACAAGATCCAAACAAAAACAAGAATAAACTAGCGCCAAAAGAGCAGCTAAGCAGCAATCTGTTTTGGTGAAGAAGAAGGCGATGAACCCTAAAATGTATTACAGACTGAGATCACTTCTTTCATAGCGAGAAAATAAGGAGGAAAATGGAACCAAAGCAAAACGCAATGTAAATAAATAGAACTCTTAGTAGGCTGTAGGAAATTGAAATTAGTGGAGAAATTAGCGCGACACACATACCTCCGCTATCCGTTTTTCGGCGTCATATAAACTTTTCTTGTAATGTCCACGTTCTATTGGGTGACCTCGTGAGAACTCGAACACTAGAATTCACACTGTACACAGAAGATTCCAGGTTTATAAACCAAAAGCTTGTATTAGTCAGGCATTGCTTACAGTTTACTCAGAACAGAACAAAGAAATGAAAAATCCCGGATGATGTTCCACTTCGTTCCGTTATTAATCATCATAAAAGAAAAGGAAAGCGGTGAAATGGCACACAAATAAACTGGCTTGAGGCTGGTGTCAAAATTCGCGATCCGTCGCGCGATTCGCGCGAATGGCAAAAATCACAAGTGAGCCATTCGAAAATTTGAAACACTGACTATGAAACAAGTAGGATCATGAACTGTCGGGCATTTTCACCGTCACCTCAAGGAGCGAATATAAGGATGATGAAAGCACCCTCACAGTATCGATGCGGCGCACCTGTGGATTTTGCTCGATCCGCGAGGGAATCGCGCGCGGCGGAATCGCGGGACGCTGACACCGGCTAGAACCGGATCGAAATGTATCCGCGCTGGCGGAGGGGGGGGGGTTCCCGATTCACCCTTTACGTCAATGTGAATCAGTCCACGGAAGGTATCTCGTAATTTCGCTGACTAGAGAAGCGCCACTCATAAGCAAACGATAAGCGGAGCCTTTGCAATAAATTGGTTTTCGTATAAATTGATGTACTAGAACTCAGCGCGATTGGCAACGTTCAGCTGTCCAACCCATTCTGTCAATGAGGTACCGACATATCAAGTAGCCAGTACGATTCAGGCCATGCGTGCAGTGGACGCCAATTAACTTGTCGCCTTAAACGATAAACAGTGTAACACTTAGAAGAAACAAAGAAAGTTGAACTTCGGAAATATCAGTTAATAGCTGGTGTCTGAGGCATAAGAACCATGCCGATCATCTTATAATTATTTGCCTTCAGTTATTTGAGATTAGGAAGCTAAGGAACAGGATTGATATTCAAGGCATTTCGCATTCAAGACTAGTGCAAAATTAGTGACAAAATCTCGGTGACCTTAATAAAAAAAACTCGTCAACACTGGGCTCTTGCTGCTTTTATTTTGATGCCATGTATGGTACAGAGTATTACATCTGCAATTGCGACTGGAGTGTCAGCGGGAAATAAAGTGTAGATGAGTGCAAGAATCATGAAGCACCTTAAAAGTGCTGTTTTTTTTGTTCTAGCGCCACTCGAGAAAATTGAAAATATTTAAGATTAAAAACGAAAAAAAGAAAACGGAATGAGAAAAGCATACCGTTACTGGAGTCGCTGATGAACTCATCAACGACATTCAAAAAGCTCTTTACGATGTCCTCGCGGTTACTGACCTCATGTCCCGGACAGTTCATTTTTCTGAAAAAAATAACAGTGATGAGTTTTTTTCGCTACATTGGAAGAAGTTTTCAAACAGAAACCCCCTTGCAAAGTTTAGCCCGAAAATGATAAGCCAAGTCACTATTATGACTTACACGTATTTGATATCATAGTCTGCCCATTCTGCTTTGTTATAATATCTGTCAGTGTTTGTGAGATCGACCACCATACCAATAATTTTACCTGCTTGACGCGCCTAAAATTCCAGTTCTTATCAAAGCAGAAAATGGAAGAGCTAACGGGAGGCTCTTACATATGTGACGATTCTATGCACATCAAAGTAATCATCGTCGGTCAAGTCGTGCTTCCCCGAGAAAAATGACTTATCTAGTGGGGTTTTGAATGCGACGAAGCGTGTACCTTCCAAATCTCGGCCGACTGGATCGTAATTCAACCACCTGAATAGGGAAGAGTAGAAAAAAGTTAAAGCAGATAAAAATCATTCATTTGCTGTGACAAGCCAGTGAGGGCGTTCTTCGCACAGTAGAGCTATGAGTGGAAGTAAATACTTATCAGTATTGTAAGATTTTTTCGCTTAACACTGAACAGTCCCTATGATGCGATGTTTTATATTCGGAAACATGGAGCCATTTCAATGCACTCTCGATTTTCAAAGTGAGTTTTGTTGAGAGAAGGCAACATTCACTCTCCAAAACGGGCTGGAATCAATTCACCAATTCCAAGGAAGGAAAGGAATGGTTGGGCTAGGATTTGATTCGGAATCCATGCAAAAGGTAACGGCAGCAACTGTCACTTTTCATTCATAAGATGCTGAGATTCCTTCTATTCATGCATTCTCATAAGATTTTCGCCAAATGCTATCTAACGAAGAGAAAACTTTAAAACAAGGCGGAAGCTCCCTCGCTCCTCTTAAAGCGTCAAGGAGTACAGAGTAGGAACAAACGATGCCATGTGCCTTGGAAATTCTATCGAAAAGAAACAAAGCAAAGAGACTCAAACTGATTCACGTACCTGTCCGGTATCCTTCTTCCGCCACCACCACCGCCGCCATCCCCACCGTGTCGTCTTTTTCTGCGGAATGGCCTACGATCCGAATTTACCTCGGACATGGTGTAAAAAAGAAACAGCGGCCTGAAAACCAACATTTGATATCTAGTCTACGTAAATCTATCTGAAACCATTAGCGGTTGGGCCAAGAATTCATAGAATTAGTGCAACGCAACAATCAAAAAGAAAGACAAGCAAGTTGAGCCGTGAAAAAATTCCGGTAGCTCGTATATTTCCGCACTGCAGACGATTGTCTCAACCTCACGGCAAGTTTTATTGTGTGAGAAAAGCACTTGTATCGAGCACATTTGTTTTGATATTTATAAATGCAGGGAAAATGAAATGGTTAAAGGATACATATTGAAGGAGCTTTCTCTCCATTGCCAAAGCCGCGGTACTACAGTCAAAATCAAAAAGGAAAATAGAAAACCGGATCTATTAAACTAAGAAAACATTAAAGCAGGAAGTATTAAGGTAAAATTATGAACCTAACCATCGAGTGGTCCATATATCTAGTTCAGAGAGCATAGAAGGAACGTGCAACATAGTCATGGCTACTGAAAACATCGAGCACCGAGAATACAACTTGTAAAATGAAGAGCTTATATGTAGTTATTTAGATGGTTGCCTTTGTTGTCGTTGTCTTATACGGCGTACTAAGTAAAGATAAAGATAAAGTCCTTCTTAAAGCCCTTATTAGAAGCAATATGTGCGTTTGAATACGTACAATTCCTTTATTCTCATGAGCATTTGCTATTTTTCATTAAAATGTCTACAAAGGGGATCTGTGACTGCGCACGAGAACAACAAGGTTAACAAAGGTTTTGTGGTGTAAGTGAATGTGTGATTGTGGGTGTGGGGTTGGTGGGGGGGGTGGGGGGGGGGGGGGGGGGGGGGGGGGGGGGGGGGGGGGGGGGGGGGGGGGGGGGGGGGGGGGGGGGGGGGGGGGGGGGGGGGGGGGGGGTGGGGGTCAGGGGGGCGGGGTTGCGTTGTGGTGCGCTGCGTAATAACTTCGTATTTCCCTAACGAACCTCAGATCCTTGCACTAAGCCCTCTATCTACCTATCTCTCTGAGAGCCACAAAACTGTGGGCAGCTCGAGAATGCTTGAAAATTGTGGGCAGCTCGAGAATCCTTGCTCGCATGTTGAATTTTAAATCAATTCGAAGTAATCGAAAGTTACCTTTTTTTTTTTTCAACTGCAAGCAACCAATTTATATATTATCCTAAACCAACGAACTTTGTTGGGCCAGCCTTCTGGGGGGGGGAGAATACTGATTCGTACGTACTGGCTTCTGTGTTGCTGCATAGTCCAGCGTATTCAGAACGCTACGAGTTCGAATGAAGTAGCTGAGTGAAATGCCAGAAAAGTGATAATCAATGCCTACAGTTTATTCTCCATCACTTGATTAATGTTCAACCCATTCAGACAAGGTCATTGTTCTGAAATCTGATCTGTAGGGGGGGCTGGCGCACGAGTCAAACGCCTGCGTTGCGCAGTTCGCATGCTCTTGTTTTTTTTCGTTTGCTTTTCTTTTTTTGTTTTTTTTGGCACGTTGAGAGATTCCCTCACGGCACGCTGTGTTGTCGTGAGACTGCAGTCGGTTCTCGAGCATGCCGAGTGTGAATGGTCACTATAGAGACGTGTCTAGTCGGGGGGGCCGCGGCGAAGCAGCGCAACAGTGACCGTGTAGAACTGCGGCACGGCAAGGTTGACTCTGGGCTCGAGTAGCCTATCGAGCTTACAGTGGTGTCACGGCCCGGAATTGTGCGCCGCTAATGACGCTTAGGGCCTTGACAAGTGATCTGGTGGCGACTAAGTGTACTTACGGACGAGATACCTCAACCACACCCTAGGACACACAACATGGATTACGACGTAGAGGCTAATTCAAACATGCGCGCGTTCAGTGGAGTCCATGGAGCAAGCAAGATTCGTACAACTCGTCCGGTTTCGCCGTTCCTTATCTCATGGAAAAAGAAAGGCAATACTTGTAGATGGCTTTATCGAGTGTTTGCTTCGTTTCTTTTTCAATTTTCAGTCAACTCGGCATCCCCAATTTGATTGTCGACCACTGTCACCCCACCAATTTGGTCTAGGGATGTTGCTTCCAATATGATGCTTCCTGACGCGCTTTATAGAGAGTTCACAAGGGTGATTGGCAATCGAGCGGGACTTGTACTTCTTCCATGCTTGAGAGAATCAGGACATGAGGAAAGTCAGTGATAATGTTAATGATAGCCTTATCGAAGCAGGAACAGCGCGCATGATCGAGATGCAGTTCCTCGGCCTCTTTCCTCCTCCACAATCTCCCTCTCTTTTTCCCCTTTGCCCCGGCCATGTTGCTTCTGTATAATGAATGGTTCCCCTGATTCAAATCCATGTGCGTCTAACTGAGCGAAGAAAAAGCTGGTTTCCGAGCATCCCAGGGAGCAAACCGAAATTCGAAGACTTAGTGAAAAGAAATCAGTTTTTTTTCGTAGTTCGACTTCGACTAACGAGTGAGGTGGTTCACTTTGGGAAGAGCATACTTAATGCGTACGAAAATGGTGCGCATATATTCAACAAGTGTTGCCTCCCTGATGATGGAAAATGTTTTTTCAAGGGATACGATGCAGTCGCCACTTTGCTGCTCTTCAATGCGCTTTTTTTTTCAGTTTTGTGTTTATTTAATTGAGTTTTTGTTTTTTTTGTGATTTGGCTTGAATGTCTGGTACTTGCTGCAAAACTCGAATAGATGTTTCATTATTCGTTGCTTGTCGGCTTTTCTTTCGTGACCTTGACCTGCTTGAAATTGGGAGCAATCTGTTTCAGTAGAGTTCCTACAACTTCTATGGAAGTTTCCCATTCACCAGCCTGAATCGGACAACGCACAGTTTTGGTAAGCTTCGGTCCAATCATCAAACATATTTACTTTCCGCACCGTTATGCAGAGTTCACCTCTTCCTACTCTTATTCCACTCACGAGGTGATCCTGAACAGTGCTTATTTCTTCATCCCTGCCTCAAAGATTTACTCTGTAGCCAATTAATTTACTGCTCTTCCTCAGCATCAATTGTGTGCAATAACTGCAGTGCATGCCCGATTTCGAGGTGCGACGCCAAATTGGCGTTTTCCGAACGCCTGTTCCATCTCAGTCGAACCTTTCTTTGCTGGCTCTCTTTAATACTGAATACTTTAGTTCACCCTCTGGCAACGGCTGCGTCAAAGCGTAAATCTAATCACCGCGCTAAACAGATTCTGCAGGACAATTTAGTAGGTCAATCTCCTTCAGTGTCTTATGTTGTCAATAAAGGAGGCCTATGCCATCTTATCACATTCTGGTTTCCTAGTTCCTACCAACTGCCATTTCAGTCCCATCTGCCGTCCCTAAACTGTATGACGTGACAGTATTTCTGTCTGATGTTACTGGAGCCACTGCTCTCACTTATTCCCATTCTCATTTGATATGTATGTCCAGCACTAAAGGGCTACCCTATTAAATCGAAAATACCTTCAGAACTATCGTTTCACTGACCGGCATGATCAACATCGAAATCCTTCAACCTGTTGATAGGCTCAAGCTGTTCTGTGTTGGACTCCACTTGTAGGTTTATGTTCGTCTTACGCCTTATCCTTAGAAATACCACCTGTTCATGACCAATATGTAGATTCTGCGACTCAGCTTAGGATTGCAAATAAAATAAAGCGAGTTTTGACGTTTCGAAATTTTCGCCCCTATTGGGCAGATTGTTTCTCTTCGTCATGATTTTTAATGAAAATTCATCATTTCAGCATATATGAGTGCCACTGCGAGTTTCATATGAAAAAGACCAGGCAATTGTGCATGGATTACATGGTGAGTGAACTTAAGGTCACAAAGCCGTTACAAAATCAGAAGGGCGCTGAGTAAAACATTTCACTCCAGACGAGAATGAAACTCGCACCTTACGCTTCCCGGGACCTCTGCTACCAAATAGGTTCAGGCAGTTAACAACAGAAAACGGATCCAAACTACTCCTAAGCGTTTCCTACGTTTTCTATATAAGATCGCATTTCGTCACTCTCGACATATGCTCTCTGCGCTACTCCACTGCATTCCATATTCTCCACAGTGAGAGTAGGGCACGGATGGAAGGTTTCGAAAGTCAGTGCGAAGACAAGAGTACAAACCTAAGGCCTGAGTAAAAGCCTAAGAGAGAGGGCCTAGGAACGGTGTGCCGTATGGCTGCAAAAGTCGGAGTGTCAAAGGCGGGGTTTACGACAAAAAGGCAGCCTATTAAAAATCAAGGTAGAGGTGGTCGGTAGTGCAGAGAAGAATAACCGTGAAAACGTGCCACAGCCCTAGAAATGGGACCCACTCTTGCCCGTTCATTTCCTCGTTAATGTGACTTTCATTGCCACCTTCAACGCTTATGGTAAGCGACGCCCTCTCTGTTTACAGCTAGAGACAAGCGGCAAGAGGTTATCCAGTCGGTGGGCTTGCCGCGTCGATAGCGCCGCGGGAGAGCCATGCTGGCGCCGGGGGCATATTTTCCGATGTCGGTCCGCACCCTCACAATTGTTATTTGTTAGGGATCCGCCTGTCTTTTCAGTAGATAGTTCCCCCTTCTGCGACATCCGACCTTATCGCGGAATTCTCTTTTAAGGCATTGTAGTACAGAGGCAGTATTCAGGCCGTAGAGCACCGAAGACCTTAAAGGACCGGATAAAGCAGTCCGTGCCCTGACCGCGCAGGAGCCAAATTTGCCCGGATGAAATATTATGCATACATGAAGTGGGGCAGAGCTACGAGCTCCAGCAACTAAATTCTAAAATGCCACGGTAGGAGGAAATCGTTGATGCGTAATGGTCTTCTTTTGTCGGCGAATGCTGCCTCGCCCAAGCATTGTTTTCGACTCTAGCGCGGGCACGCTGCTGAGTAGCACAGCATAAACTGCAGTTCGCCGCGTATAAAACGCAACTCTGCTACAATGCGCATGTGCACGCTGATGACATCAATCATCCGGCGATGCTGCTTCCCCCAGACATGGGGTGGAGAGGTGGATAGGGGCATGGGTCACCACCTCCCCACCTCATGCTGGGGGAACATCGGTCTCGGTTTCTTTGAGCCTGCAAGGTAAAATTGAAAACGGCCATCATAACCCAAGCCTCCAGCCACCTGCATCGGCATCCCTGCGGCTCTGCCCATGATTTGCTCCCAGGTGTCGGTGAGAATGTCCACCGCGCGACGAGTGGAATTGTATTCACATATGCGAGATTACCCGACCAACACTAGACGCGAATCTTCGGTTTAGAACACCCACTTCTAAGAACTGGCACTTCTCCTAGAATGGATCTTCCAGGCACTGAGTGGACTACTGGCAAGGCCTGGTTTGTCCTAAATGTCAGGAAGAGTGATGAATTTTCAAAAGTGCGATAATAGAGAAAATATGTGAGGTGCAGATCCCGCTATCACATCGCCAATGACTTCCATTCTCTTCCAGAACCTTTCCTGCTGCAGAGGCTTAATTTTTCTTTAGCTCATTGTTTTCTTGTTTATTTGTTTGATTCAGAATTCACAAACTATAAAA